TCCAATTCCAATTCCAATTCAATTACTGGACTTATGTATATACGTAAAGGTGATTACACGAGTTCTCTTGTATTCTTACAAAGTCACGCAATAAGCTAACTACATTACTTTATGGTACTTGCGAGATTCTATAATACTAAACATAATATATATTATAAAAAAGAATTAATTTTTGTTTTATACAGTAAATATAAAACTAAGTTAATTTGGTAAGGTAAATGCGGGTATTATGACGAATGTGGGTATTTTGACGAATTGAACATTACAAGGAAACAGGATTTTTTTTCAAAGTAAACTTTACTTACTTAGTAAAGTTGCTCAACATATCTTTTACTTACCCACAAATCTTGGTGTAATTCGAATAACCTTTTATTAATGTTTGTATACGTCAAACACAAAATTGATTTACTGTGCTAAAACATATAACGAAAAGGCTATTAGAAAAAGGTCATTTGAATTTCACTAAAATTTGATGGTAAGTAAAAGATGGTATGTTGAACAAACTTTACTTTGTAAGATTAGTTTACTTGGGAAAATACTGTTTTCTTGAAAAAAATAATTTTAAAAAATCGCGAAACGTATTATCTGTTATAAAAAGATCGTCACAGTACATACGTTCGTCATTTTACCCTCAAAATAAAGAAGTGTAGTCTTCTAAATAACATCACGCAGTTTAAATAAAGTACCGATTTTTTTTATATAAATGTAAAAAGGGTCTATAACTGCATTAAATTAAATAAAAAGTTAAGAATATAAAAATTTTTCAAAAACTTTTATTACCAGTAATAAAAATTGTTGACTTCGTCATTTACCTTATCAGTCGATCGGGATGTCACACAGATCAGGTAAATAAATTTTTTTACTATGAAATTTGAGTGATCGACACTCCTATGAAATTTTCAAATTTCATAGTAAATTATAATAGTAGACCATTTTCAATCGTCATTTTCAGGGGTTTTCTAAAGGAAACTGCATTCTGAACAACGTAATATGATTTGGCACAACAAAAACTTTAGTATTCTTATGTATAAAGTAGGTAAAATAATAAACTCAAAAAAAATCATGTTTTTAAAAATACCCTTTTGTTTCATAATTTATAGAAGTAAGTCAAAATTCACATAAAACTTTCTACTACAAAGAATGAAGTTACTGGTAATTTTCTATGTTAAAATTTAAAATTACATAACTATATAAATTCACAAAACCATTAACAGCCTATTTTTTAGATTATAATTGAAAAGGAAAAAAACTTTAGCTATTTGCTTTGCAAGAATATTTGCTACTTTGACTTTTTTGAAAAATAAAAAGTATTAGTTAATATATGTTGAAAAAACATCATGTTGATTTCTGTGAAATAATAAACTTGGTCAGAAGAGCAAAAAGGCACTAGCTAGTGTATTTGCAAGAACACTACTTGGATCTTGGTTAAAATAATAAGATTAGAGGGATGAAAAACATTAATATATAAATTATAATTTTTTTTTTTTCTTTTTTAACAAAAACAATATCTGATATCACAAGTTGATAAGAATATATTTATAGTAAATTTATTTATTTTTTTTTTTTATCTTTATTTTTATATTTTTTTTATGAACATTCCCAGTTATTTCTTTATTGCTTAAAAATGGATTTCTAGAACTGATGAGAAATATTATTATCAACTTGTTCTTGAAACCAATTTTGCGCTAGGGCGAACCGCGGATCACCAATGGGTAGTGCATATATTCGCGGCCATGGGCGCAGGTGCCACGAGTACTATAGTCACTAATCCATTATGGGTGATAAAAACACGGTTCATGGTATTTGTCGATAACCAGTACATTGAAGTCACTCGTCAATTCCCTTCCCCTCTGCACCTTCCCTATTGGTCATACTAGTTGTCCATCACAAATTAATCAATGAAATTTTGAAAATCATAGTATTTTTTTATAATTTTACTGTAATAATATACTTTTTTTTTTTTTTTTTTTTACAAACGTGATTAAATATTAAAGTTTAATCTTTTTTAAAAAAAAAATTTACAAAATTGAAATTTTATTTCTGACTACATTAATAAATAAAAATTTTTTAAATGTAAAACAGATTTTATATAAATTATCAAACTGAATTGAGCCAAGCCTAATT